TTTTAAAAAAAAAAAAAAAAAAAAAAAAAAAAGTAAACTCACTCCAACACCACATCAAATTTGAAAGATTGAAAAACACTTTTTTCTAAATGATAATTTTATTACTTTTAGGAGCAAAATAAAGGAAATGTCAAAAGCAATCTTAAAGGAGTAGCTCTGGCAGATTCTTTGATTTCCCCTGATGATATGTACACGGCGATTGCTCCGTACTTGTTTCATTTTGTAAGTATTTCATCAAACTATGGCTGCACTTTACACTCCTTACGAAACAAAAAAGTTAATTGGAATAATTAATTTAATTTAAAAGTTATACAAATCGTAACGACTGGACGATAACGCGCGTGTTCGAGGAAATGTTATTTATTATGATGAACAATCGATTGGATCTCAATCTCAGTTCATTGATATCAATATACGTGGAGTTCAAAATACTTTTGTCAGAAATTGAACACGCTTACGAACGTCTTAAATCTGCGACATGATGTATTACATTCCGTAATCTTGCTGCAATAATTTTTTTTTTTTTTTTTTTTTTTATTATTATATGGATCAAAATCCTTGTTCAACAATTGATCGTTTTCATAGAAAGCCTGTGATGCATTTCAGGGATGTGCAAAAATTTTAATAACCCACTAGAATTCACAAAATATTTTTAAATCGTCAGTAATTATAAAAGTATTGTTACTCGATGGGATTAATTAATTTTTTCAAGGGTTTGATTGACGGTGACGGTTATCAAGCTATCAGCAAGGCAGCCGACAAATTTGTCAAAGCCAGCAGTTCCGGCAGTTGGCGTGAAGCTGAGGAAATTTCAGAAACAATTGAAAGCCTTATGCAAAAGTACACTCATAGCGTGGACAGGTACAATGTTCTCAAAAAAGTTAGGCCCAAGCGTCCCACACGTAAGATGGATTTATTATACTCGGGTTTCGAATTTTTCGCCATCGTGGATACTGTTGTCAATGTATTTTGTTCATTTGTTCATCTATTTTCAGATAAATACAACTCTAGATTCATAGACGATGAAGTGTACTCGTATAAATTAAAACAAATAATGAAGCAAGTTGGAGCTGCTCTAGATTTAAAAAGTCCATGGACAGCCGATGTAATTAATGTTTACAATGCTCTGATAGAAGATTGTAGAAAGCCCGTTGTCTACCATGGTATGTATCAAATTTTTTTAGCCAAAAAATGTTGAGTGCTAAACGTTAATGGTAAAAAAATATGGGGATACATGTATTTTTGTATAGTTTTCTATCCACGGAAAAAAAGTTTTATAATAAATGTGGAATATATCCTACTTACTGGCATAATTCCGATCGCGGAATTCGTTGAAATCGTTTCTAGAAATTAAAGTAAAATTAGACTTGAATAATTTCTTATTTTCTAATTACATTTCTAGTGCATAATATTTATTAAAAATAATAATTTTAATGAATTATTTTTACAGTTGAAAAGCTATTGAACGAGACGGACATCAAAGTTTTTGTTTTCAATGGTCAATTGGATCTCATAATAAATATACCAGGTATGTAAAAAAACGTTATAAAGATAAAATATATTTACACTACAACATAAAAGATAATTAAAAATAGTAAAATTTTGATATTAGAGCTGATTTATTTTAAATTTGATACGTATTATTTTGTTCAAACGAAATCCATTTAAATATAATATATTCATATTCAATTCTCCAATGCTCGGTCAGTTTTTGTTTTTTTTTAAAAAGAAAAAATAGGTGTCTTGTATTTTTTGAGAATCTACTTGACGAATAAAATAAAAAATGGCAACAAATCGTTAACGTGTAATGTGGTGTTCTTTATAAAAAATATGTTTGTACACCAAGTGCATAATCATGACATATAGTATAACTTATTTAATTTAGTTTAATCGGCACTTATCACAATCACTACTCGAATATTCATGCAGTCATCATAATTTTTATACCAATGACTCGAAAACTCAGATGGATGTGCTAATCAGTATTTACGCAATATTTTATAAAGGTACTTTACGTTGGATTGAAAAACTAAAATGGAAACATGCCGAAAAATGGCTAAAAGCGCCTAGATTACCATTAATTGTTAACGAAATCATAGAAGGTTACTACAAGGGTTACAACAATTTAAAGTTTTATTGGGTAAACAGAGCTGGGCATATGGTACGTAAAATTGTAAAAACAAATATAAATACGCGTAGTATAATAAATCTAGCAATCGTAGAATTCTTAATACATCCTCAAAAGATTTCTGCTGGATACGCTTTCTGATTTTTAATAAAAAATTTTTTCAAAGTGATGTTCATATTCATTACAGGTTTCCGATGATAATCCAGAAGCCATGGAGGCCATTATGAAAGACTTAACTGATAAAAAATCTGAAACTGTGGAGTAATTACTAAGTATTACTACAAAGATGATTAATTCGTAATAAAATGATATTTCAAACTGGACCTTTTTGTTGATGCAAAAGTAGATGTTCCTAATTATTTTAGTCATTGCAGGTAAAAGGATATGGAACAAATACATTTTCTGAATTATTTTATGTCAACCTATGCGAAAAAAAGACGCACTTCCATCGAAATATTTATAATTAGTGATGAAATAAATCATTGATGTTTCTCAGCGGGAAATCTTTGTCTGTTGCCATCATCACTAACGCGTAAAATCGAATTTTTCGCCCTAAATGCAAAAAATACTATGGTGTAAGCGACTAAAAAGTGTCATCAAAATCAACGATAGTCTGTGTGCGTCTGTATGTGCGTGTGTGCTATTTAACGTTGTATTATAATTGTAATTACTAATAAAGTTTTTACTCTTTATTTAATACACCGTGTACTTACCACAAACATTTTAGAAAATTCTTTACATTAAAATGTATGTCATTTCACTAACTCAGGTGTTTATGAAGAACTGGTGTACCTACGAAAACTACTATTGCTAAATAAAGTATATAGAAGCAAACATTCATATCAAAACTGAAAAAGTTTGAAACAAAAAGTAAGAGTGAATCTATCATCAGCCATTAAAATGAACATTATTAAGTTATTTTTCTTTAAATGTAAAAATCAATGTAAATAATTTAACTGATACGTAAATAATCATATAGTCCCATGAAAAAAAAAAAATTTTTTTTTAGCATGTAAAAAAAAAAAATTGGTTAAAACAAGATTACTAAAGTGCTAACTTCTATTAATCAAAGAAGCATATTTAATTCAATTTCCAGTAATTACGAAAGCTAAAAGTGAAAAAAAAGAATGCGTGATTAATTATTTAT